TTTGTTGAAAATCAGGAATTACCCGTAAAGAGACAAGAACAATTAGAAAATGATATGTGTCTAGCATTTGTCTGCGCAAGTATCTCATTTAATGTTGCCGGAAATGAAATTTTTCGTGGATGGCTTCAGAATCTTAGACCAGGTTTTAAAATACCTAGTCCAAAAACACTCGCCGAAAGAATTTTAAATAAGCAAATTATTCAGGTGGAAGCAAAAATGGAAAATGAACTACAAAGTAAAGATTATATCACCCTCGGTATATAAATAAGTGACAGCAAGAGAAAACTGTAAATCATGCTTTTTAAACATTTAATAAAAATGTCTTAAAACCAATTGAACACTTAAGATTTTAATATCATTCAAATGCTATTAAAATCTTATGTTTAAAAAATATTATTTACAAGTTTTCTCCTGTCGTCGCTCAAATACTATTTATTTTTTATAACAGATATATAATAATTTATTTGTTATAGCTCTTGATGGGTGGACGGATCCATAAGGCCGATCAATTTGGAATTTTTTACTTTTAACACCTGACAGAAAGGAGCATTTGTATGCATTACATAACTATTCGAATGCACATCATATGGCGGAATTTCTCGCGCAAGAAATTGAAAAAATTATTACTCAAATTGGAACTAAAAGAATTTGTGCGGTGGTTAGTGATAACGGTGCAAATGTTGCAGCAGCACAACGTTTAATTACACAAAAATTCTCTCATATAATGAATGTATCATGTATAGCCCATCGGCTAAATCTTATTTGTAAAGATATTATGAAAGAATCTTTCTCCAAACGCATTTTATCTCAAGCAACATTAGTTGCTCAATTTTTTAAATTATCTCACATAGCAAATTCAGCACTTGAAAATGAAATCCAGATTAATAATATTGTAGAAGGAGGTATTAAACGATATGTAGCAACTCGTTGGTCTAGCTATTATAATATAGTTTATTCAATATTGCATTTAAAAGTTGTATTTGTTCGAGTAAGTTGATTTAACTTATATTAAAAACTTACTGTTATCACAATAACTATCGATATATTAAAAAATAATCTTTTTTTATCAACTTCGCTATAACGTAAAACTAATTATTAATGTATTTACAAAAGATTTTAGAACATGATCCGGATATTATTACCAATAACGAAGTGTATACGATTTTAAATAAAGGTTCATTTTATGACGATTTACACTTTATGACTACTATTCTACGGCCTATTAAAGAATCTATCATTCAACTTGAAAGCCAGGATTTAACACTCGCAGATTGTTTTATTCATTTAGTCAAATTGGCAGCTACGATTTATCGAATACCTCAAGACCAGCATATTACTTTTCAGAAATATTGTATTACTTCTATCAATAGACGGCTTTTAGAATTTAATAATGATATATATTATTTGGCTTATTTTTTGCATCCAAAATTTAAAGGTAATATAGATATTACTCTTATTTAATACTTAGATAATTCCCGGATGTGCAAAATTACTATTCCTGATAGATCAGCAATACCGATTCTAATAAAGTTAAAAATAGTGTAGTATAGTATTTTGCTCTTTTAGAATCCTATCAGAAACAGTATGTAAATCAATTTTTTTTCCTAACCTATCAGGAACAGTACCGGCGATCTATTAGAAATGATATTTTTGTCCCGGGTATATTACAAAAAAAATTTTATAAAAATTATATAAATTCGGATATTAAGATTTAATAGATTTAGCTGAAAAATATTTGAATATAATTTTCAAAGTCAATACCGTTAGTTTGTATATGCACTCTTAAGGATGTAACCCAAATCTGGTTACGTATATAATTTTAGACTGAATTCCAAATCCCAAACTCTGCGTTATTCTTTATTGAATATCCCAAATATTGGCGCAGTTGATACTGCAGAAGATTGTGAAAATAATTCTCTATATCACTATTGTACTAGATAATACTCAATTATTTATGATTTGCGCTTTAGTCAGTAATGCATAAGTTTGGATTATAACGCAGTTATGACGCAATGTTGAAATTATTAAAAACCTGATTCTATTAATTCGGGTTTGGTAACTTCACTAATGACTATGTATTTTTTTTTTTATAAATATATATTAGGTCGTAGTTTTAAAAGAGATCAATATAAAAGAATCGCAACGTGTGCAAGTGCTTTATGGAAATCTCTTGGTAACAGTGAAAGCACTTGCCGACAACTTATAGGACAACTTGCTTCTTATAAAGAAAATGAGTCACCTTATGATGATCCATTTGAACCTGATTGCCAAACACCACAGACATGGTGGAAAACAATTGAAGATGTTTATGATCATCTTAAGATTTTGCCAACTAAACTTCTTAATATTACTCCGCACTCTGCCTCTTGTGAAAGGGTTTTTTCGACCTTGGGATGGATCTATGGAAAAAAAAAAACCCGATTAACATTCGAAAAACTAGAAGCATTAGCCAAAATTCATTGGTATTATACAACACATGCAAAAGAAGAGATTTCTTATATTGATCGTGAGCTTACTTTAGAAGATGTGTTAGCCGTAGCAAATGAAGTTGAGGAATTAGATGATAACGATTCAGATGAAGGCTCTGCTGAAGATGATAAAACAGAATTCGAATCATTAGATGAGACGTTGAATTTGGAAGAAAATTTTGACTTAAACTATGAATTTTTTGGGACGAAGGTCAAAATTATAATGTGGAACCGAATTCGGAAAATGTAGTTAAACAACAACCAAATTATGATTATAATGTAGATGTTTTGGTTGATGAAATTTTTACTTAAAAATTTTGGGTTGGATAAGGATAGTATATCAATAATATACTGTTTAAAATAAACTACCACATAATTCTTTGTACCTGAAAGCTTTTTTCTTTTTTTTTTAAGTAATACAATTAATCAATAAATAGAAGTAAATCGGTCTGGCCCACCCAATCTAGTCTCTAAAATGATCCATTAAGCGTCGTCAACCAAAATATATGCTGTAATGCGACTAATTATTATTATTTATTCAAGTTTAGTATTTATATAATATCTTTTATCTGGGTCATTTATTCATATAAATAGTAAATACAGTAAAACTCTATAATTTTAACTTAAAGATCAATAAAAAAAAAAACTTTATGGAGGCCATATATATATATATATTGGCCTGAATTTGAGTATGCGTTTAGAGAAGTTGTGCACTTAATAAAGGGTGCACTCATGGGTATAAAAATATTTATTAATTCTAAAACAATGAATTGTAATATGACATAATAGTTTCTTTTATTAATTTCAAACCATAGTCATCATCTACATCTCGTGAGCATAGCAGGCTTTCATTTTGATTGGCCAGTTCTTGTAGATCATCCCGTG